TTTGAAAGTGATTCCAACGATATCGTTTCTCTTTGTCTTTATCATTATATTTGTGGTGTGGACTCTGCTATTCTTTAATATTGAGAATGATTTTTAGAACTATATCTTTATATCGTTATCTTTATAGTTATCGTCCTTGGTGTGAACGGGCCTGCACAATTAAATAAAATCTGTTATGGCTGTCGCGAATAAAATGAAAATGAATTGAAAAGTGTCTATTGTGGCATTAAATTTAGATCTTCTAATGTTGCATTATTATTTTTTTCATACACGTTTTTTTGTACGTGTATTGAGCATTCTAACCAATCACACACAATTCCGTTGAGCTTTTGAATGCATGACCAGTCGGAGAAAGATTAGTCATCGCTGAAACGCCGGAGTTTTGTTCAGTGCACGCTCTGAATTCTGCGCTCTCGCGAATTCTCTCATTATAAACAACAAAGTAACTTACAGATGTACGAACGATGTAAGAAATTCATCCATCATAAAGTGTAGACAGCTTCATTATAATTAATATTATATATATATAGTGTTAATATATAATATTATATCATTATAAATAATATATTTTTTTGAGTCGATGATAATGCTCTTTGATAAAGTAAATGTTCTTTGCTCATTTTCCCTATAATTTATTTGCTGTTTGAACAACAGTAGAAATTAAAGCATTATAATTATTAACTTACAGAGTTTTTCTTACATTGTGATCAAGTCAATTCAGTCATATTAATAAAAATATCTTATGGCATGACACCCATATCTGGTACTTGACTAAAAAAGATCCGCCTATAGAAAAGACGATTTATGTCCATTTATTTCCAAATTAGGGTTTAAAAGAGTATCATGGGCACATTTTTTGATGGGGGTTCTGATGAAAGGCTAGAAACATGCCTGCGGTCGCTGTGATATTATTTTGGTCAAAAATGGCGAATACCAAACATGCAAGGTGCCAAATCGTTGCTATGGTTACCATGGTGTCAATCATCGCAGTTCTGTTCCGTACACACACTAGACTGTAATTTAGAGGATTCACTCCTGTATTTAAATGCTGTCGTCACTCCTAGGGTGTACATAATTCTAACATGCTTTGTGAGAACTCTACTTATGGGTTTTAGGTTTTGTGATATTTATCATATGTTTCTAAATTACCCTGCTTCCTCTGGTCATCATGTGGGAGATCAGGACGCGGGCTTATGGCTCTGATGGAGATCAGAAATTCTGTCTGGGTTCATAAAGGACTCAGCAGAGGAGGAGGCGGTGATGTGAACAGGACTGAGGTGGAATTGAAACGGGGAATGAGGATTTGGTGCAGATGGTTGTTCTTTTGCCTCTACCGACACAAATCTCCCTGTCATGGCGTGTCAGTGTCATCTTTTGTGCGATGGTCTGTAGATGCCCGGACACTTGGTCTTTCTTTTGATCCACCCACAGATAAATCGTACAGATTTTTACAGTCCTTGAGGCCTCTAAACAGACGATACTCTCCTGCTAGACATCTGTTAACACGTCTTTGCACAGATAAATCGTACAGATTTTTACAGTCCTTGAGGCCTCTAAATAGACGATACTCTCCTGCTAGACATCTGTTAACACGTCTTTGTGTTTTGTTTTGTTTTGTTTTAGGTTTTGCTCTAGCGCTTGATATTGTGAAAGAAAATGATGACTCTTTGTATTTTCACAAAACATCGAAGGTGAGAAACTAGAGAAGTATTTTAAAATAAATTTTAAACCCAACTTTCTAAAAAAAACAAAACATTATTTTCATGTCAATGTGAAACCAAAATACTTATGGGTTTTAGGTTTTGTGATATTTATCATATGTTTCTAAATTACCCTGCTTCCTCTGGTCATCATGTGGGAGATCAGGACGCGGGCTTATGGCTCTGATGGAGATCAGAAATTCTGTCTGGGTTCATAAAGGACTCAGCAGAGGAGGAGGCGGTGATGTGAACAGGACTGAGGTGGAATTGAAACGGGGAATGAGGATTTGGTGCAGATGGTTGTTCTTTTGCCTCTACCGACACAAATCTCCCTGTCATGGCGTGTCAGTGTCATCTTTTGTGCGATGGTCTGTAGATGCCCGGACACTTGGTCTTTCTTTTGATCCACCCACAGATAAATCGTACAGATTTTTACAGTCCTTGAGGCCTCTAAACAGACGATACTCTCCTGCTAGACATCTGTTAACACGTCTTTGTGTTTTGTTTTGTTTTAGGTTTTGCTCTAGCGCTTGATATTGTGAAAGAAAATGATGACTCTTTGTATTTTCACAAAACGTCGAAGGTGAGAAACTAGAGAGGTATTTTTAAATTAATTTTAAACCCAACTTTCTAAAAAAACACACACATATTATTTTCATGTCAATGTGAAACCAAAATAGACTGTTAGCTTTCTGAATAGACATTCCTAATCTTATTGTAAATTATTTATCAGTACATCCATCAGATTGATCAGATACTTCAAAGAAAATTAAGTTGGCCATCAAAATAGAGTAAGAGAAAAAAAACATTCCTTTCCAGATAAGCTGTTGTTTTCTTTGCAAACTTTCTGTTTTAGTCAGAAATACATCACATTATGCATGTAAATCTGTGCATAACTCATAAACAAATCTAAACTGCTTTAATAAAAAATATGTGTCTCTCGTTTTAATTTTTCACTTTGTTCAGCAGATCATGAAGGCATAAGGTCTGACAACACAGGATGCTGCTTTTTAGTTTGGAGCAGATGGAATGTGAATTGCTGTGCTGTCAAGCATTCAGCAACACCGGTCATTATCCGTACTGATTTCAGGTGCAATGAACAGCGATGATCTATAAGTGAACAAACAACATCTAACTGGAAATTTAGTTCCTCTGTCTACCTCACGTTTAGTCACAAACATCTGATAATTGGAGAGAAGGAACTGATTCTGGCTGCTCGGCTTCACTGCTCCAATTCATCAGTTAAAAGGATAATACGATTTTAGTTTGGGTAAAAACGTTATCTGTAGTCTACAAATCTAATTTCAGTATTGTACATTATAGGTCTTTAGATCAAAAGGTTTTTAAGTTCATGAGAAACATCCAGTCAAGTGTGCCCAAACTTGCTGCAAAACTGTGACAAAAGTGAAAAAGTTGCGTCAGTGCAATAGTCACACAGTTTGGAGTCTGTACGAGTTTTTAATGTTTTTGAAAGAAGTCTCTAATGGTCACAAAAATACAGTAAAAACAGTAATATTGTGTAATATTATTACAATGTAAAATATCTGTTTTCTATTGTAATATATTCTGAACTATAATTTATTCCTGTGATGCAAAGCTGAATTTTCAGCATCATCACGCCATGTTCATGGTCACATGATCCTTCAGAAATCATTCTAATATGCTGATTTGCTGCTCAAGAAACTTAGTTTCTTTCTTTCTTTCGTTCTTTTTTTATAAAATGATTTTTTTCAGGATTCTTAAATATAATTTTTTTTTAAAAGAACACCATTTATTTAAAATATACATTTTTATAACATTATAAATTTACTGTCATTTTTGATCAATTTAATGCATCCTTGCTGAATATAAGTATGAGTTTGTTAAAAAAAAAATTGTTTTACTGATGGCACACTTATGAATGCTAGTATGTACTTCCGTTCTCTGTCTTTGTTGTAACCAGTAAATCGCACACATTAGCTGAGGTGGCATTAAAAGAAATGCTGTCAAGTGCCCTCTCCATGTGAAAGTACAGTAAAGTGTTTCCGTGTTGCCGTGCAGCTCCTGATTAGTCAACATTTGTCCTAAAGCCCTTTCAGTCAAAGTGAACATGCATGCGACACCCTCACACCGCAGTAATCTGCTACATGGGACCTGTGCTCAGCACATACTATGTGATAGCCAACAGCACACAGAGAAATTGTTGCCATATTATACTATTTTATTATATTTGTTCTTTTTCAATAATGTAAAAACACAAGATATGAACAGCTTTCAGAGAAAATGTGAATGGGTGCTCGGCCGTGCAAAACTCACCATCACAAGGGTGTTATATATGGTTGTCAGGGTGTTTAAACCAAAACCATTACATTTAGGTGTATTTTCCCTTTAAAACAAGGACAAGGATCATGTATAACAGAAGACTTCTTGCCATAAGTGATTCTGAGTGTCACAGCTGGGTGTAAATCTCCATGTCAGTCCACCAGTAGAACAAGGGCTCTTTTATCAATTAGAACGGAGCCTTGTCATTCAGCGAGCCCTATGATTGGACGAGCTGTCACAGAGACAAATGGCTGATTGGAGGAGGGGTCACTGTGGAAAAAGAATGATTGTTGGAAGTTTTGATCAAGAATGAGTGATCAGAGACTTTATCTGCACAGCTGCACTGTGATTGGATGAGCCTCGATCCCCAATCCGCCGAGTAACATGAGCAAAAGAAATGAAATGGAAAGAAGATTAGAAAGCCTACCTGAGAGACTGTGCACTGGAAAAAAAAAATGGTGTAGATACAAATATCTAAATTTCACAAACAATTAAAAAGAAATGTGAAATTTTAAAGTAGTAAGATTGAAATTGTATTTTCTTCTGAAATATACTCCATTAATCTTTTATTTCCAATTCAGAAAAAAATTATTTTTCAGCAGTGTATTTCACCCAAAATGAAAATTGTCATCATTAACTTAATTTTTTTTTTTAATTTCCAGAAATATTAAGAATGCATATTAAGCTGTAACACAAAATGTATATTATCAGTGTTGGGGAAAGTTAAGTAATGCATTACAATATTGCGTTACTCCATAAAAAAGTAACTGCGTAAAAAGTAATGCGTTACGTTACTTTTGTGTTACTTTTTAAATCTGGACAGGGCTTGCTTGTTTGTTTTTAAAATAAAAAAGTTATATTTTTGGCAAATATAAAAGCCTTTTCACACCAAAAGTGAAATGAATAAGCCTCAGGCTGAAGGGAAAGTAAATTTACGTCCGTACAGTAGAATGCAGAAGAAGACATTTCAACACACTTCAGCAATAAAAAAAGACACACAAATGTTTGAGTAATTTTTGCTTATTAGTATGGTTGAACTGGATCATCGAAGGTCAGAAGCAAAGACATTGGTTAATAGAATGGGATTAAATACATAAAGGATATTTGTGTTGTTTAACATTTAATTATTGCAGGTTTGCGTCATATTCGGAGTTGCATTATTTTTACTCATTTTGAGGAATACTGAATCTGTTTTTTTTTGTGTGTGAGTGAGATGAATTAATGCATATTCATATTTATTTTAGAACTACAGTAACATCTGATTTCTCTCAACATGGGGACAGGAGAGCTGTCAGTCAATAAATTGGAAAAAAAAGTAACTTGCGTTACTTATTTGAAAAAGTAACTCAGATATTCTCTTGTAAATTAAAAAGTAATGCGTTACTTTACTAGTTACTTGAAAAAAGTAATCTGATTACGTAACTCGCGTTACTTGTAATGCGTTACCCCCAACACTGTATATTATAACATGAAAAAATGACACAATCTTATAAAAAGTAAATTACAATTGTGTATTTTGGTGTAAATGGTAAATTTGAAAATTTCCACTCAGAAACTGCTAGTTAATTAGTAACATAAACTAGTAAACCTGACATTTTTAAAGTAGAAAGATTGAAATAGTATTTTCTTTTGTAAAACATACTCCAATAACCTTTGTTTTGTTTACAACTTTGAAAAATCCTTTTTAGGATGGACAGGCCTATATGGAAGCAGTAAGTTCTGGCTATTATCTTTCCATGAAATTCTGTTGTTTGCGTTGACATTTGTGAATGGGATGCATGCACTAGGTCATGATGGCGAACTTCAAAAACAAGCCCCAGCACGTGCCAGATGAAGCTGGTGACCCAGTCAGCTTCAAACCTGATTCATAACTACTTTAGCTATCAGAGAAACTCAGTTTGTTGCCATGTGGGGGTTGAAGGCGGGTGTTGTTGCCGGGGGAATAGTTATTTTTGCCTGTGACTCAATTTGCTCTAGAAACATGACTAATGAGATTGAGGAAAACAAACTTGGTCACAGAGTGGCTTTGGTGCAGAGCTTACTGTCCTAAAAGTCTTCAAGTCCCTTCGCTTTATTTTCAGATTTTGATATTTCCTGATTGGCATTGGTTTTGGGTACTTTTTAAAACTAAAAAGCTTTTCTACACTCTTCTTCAGAGGTTCTTTTGATCACCTTTGTTTCAGCAAAGAACTATTCTTGATTTGGCTATATGGTTTTATGAAGAACCAAGAACCATTACACTGGTTCTTTACATCAGTGTATTGACCATTGGGTTCTTTAGCTTGTCTTCAACTTGTTCTTCACATAAAAAAAGGTTTTTTTTTTTCTTTTATAAATCCAAAATGGAATCGCTACAGAAACAACCTTTTAGAACCTTTGTTTTTAAGAAATCATTTATGATGTGGAACCGAATGTCATTGCTTGACGTTTCATGTCAAATACCCAAAAGTAAACTGACAACCAGAGTAAAAGATGTGAAAAACCACATTCTTAGATATTCAATAACCAATGATGCTTATGACACATTGAGACAGAAACAGAGTTCAACGTCAGCAGACAGGTGCGTGCAAAGAAGCGTCAAAAAATAGTCAAATCACAAAGACAAAAAAATGAAAACACAGGGGTGTCAGAATAGATGAAAGATGCTCACAGCAGGGGAGTGGAAGCAGAAAATAGAAAACAGTGACAGTAGGCAACCTGTCACTACTGAGAATCTTCAGACAAGACAGACACACACACACACACACACACTAACAGGGGCTCTTCATAATGGTTTTTATACTCTCCTAATCATATTTTCTATCCTCTAACCTTAAACAAAACCCTCACAGAAACCTTTTTTGGCATTTCAGAAAGTATGTTTTTAAGCCGTTTGGTTTATGAGGCCACTGTAATACTAAAGTAATTTATACAATTGTGTCCTCATAAACCATACAGTATATACAACAACCACACAATTACTGCATGTAGCATTTAATAAAACAATATCACAAGGCCCTCATATGATCCGAATACAGTTTAGTTGCTGTTTTTAAATATAACATTTGACAGATATTAATAAGCATTCAAATCACTCCTCTGTTTATATATTACTACTACAGAGCAGTATCAATATTTTTAGGTGTAACCCGAGGTGTTGTAAATCTTGGTTAAATATTCCTGTACTCTCAGAAAAGTGGTACAAAGTTGTCACTTGGGTGGTACACAAAAGGTACAAAAGCTAAAAGGTACATTTTTGTTAGTACATAGTACATATGTAAAATACATATTAGCGCTTTAAAAGTACACATTAGTACCTTTTTTTTTTTTTTTTTAAGTACCGGCCCAGTGACGGCACAAACACATGAAAATACTCTTGGTTACATCTCCACAGTTCAAATGTACACCCTGAGAAAAAATACAATCATAAAGAACATAAAAATAGACTTATTTTATAAAAAGTGCAAAGGCCATATCAATAGAACATTCTCTCATAAATAATAAAATAGCATTATTACATGATCCCCCACGATTCAAAAGACATGACACAACACATCGGCTGCAAAATTAAAAATAGAGGAGGGACGACAGAATAACAGCGGATCAGCACAGTCATTTATGCTGAATATCCTATTCGAGGGAACCAGTGTTATACTAACTTCTGGCCTACAAAAATACTTCATCACTTCAACACACTATTTAATAACAACAAAGTGCATTGCTTAAGATTGGGAAAATCAGAAATTTTGTTCCACTTATGTCCCCCATCTCTGACTGAATGGCTGAATACTGTTTTATGTCCTATAAGCATTGGCTTTACTGATGGGGCAGCAGTAAGGTGAATCCTGTTCGACTCTTCTTGAAGTCTGCAGCGGTCTGGCCGGGTTTGGTCTCGACGGTGATACTCTTAGGTTTCCCGCTCATGTGTACCTGGAACACTGTAGAGCACACTTTGACCGGCAGTGGAGTGTTCTTCACTCTGGAATAAACACATGACATAATTACTCCAGATCCTAGCCGACGCTGAATGCATCCCATAAATAGCTTGTGACAGCTCTCTCAGCTCCCTGCGGCCTATAAAAAGCAGTCAAAGCTTTGCATTCAATTGTGTTTTTTGCCGTTTTGTAGTGGTTCATGATGAGAATGCAATGAAGGAGACACATGTCCTCCTGACACACAGCTGCAGAGAGACGGTGACTCAGCCCTGCCACATGAAACAATAAACCAACTCATCACTCCATGCCTTAATAAATGGCTTCTGTCTAATCAGTAGTACTTGTTGAGACTATTGCTCATATCAAGGATTAAACTTCATGTGCACTACTGTTCAAAATTTAGGTAGGCTTTTTTTCTTGTGCTCACCAAAGCTGCAAAAATTCAGTAAAAACAGTAATAATTTGAAATATTGCTCAAATTTGAAATGACTGTCTACTGTTTGAATATATTTTTAAAATGTAGAAAAGCTTGAGGTTGTTAATTTTTGAAAGACGTCTCTTATGCTTACCAAAGCTGCATTCATTTGATCAAAAGTACAATAAAACAATAATATTGTGAAATATTATTACAATTTGAAATAACTGTTTTGTTTGAATATATTTGTAAATGAAATTAATTCCTGTGATGCAAAGCTGAATTTTCAGCATCATTACTCCAGTCTTCCTCTCACAAGATCTCCCGGTTCTTACTTGTGAATTCAGTTCACTGGAGACTCGCACTAAACGGTTCATTTGAATCAGTGAGTTGTCGACTCGAGAATAGCTGCAATCGGTTAATTCTCGATTTGCGAACCGATTTAAAAGGTTCATTGAAAAGAATCAGTTCGTTCTTGAATCAGACACCGCTTCTGCGTGTCAGAGCACGTGATATATTATAAGGAGTAACGATATGTTTTATGAAATGTAGTGAAGTAAAAAGTACGATCTTATGCTTTGGAATGTAGTGAAGTAAAAGTTACTCAAAATAAAACTACTCCGTTACTGTCCACCACTGATTATTATGTAGCTTCCATAGACTTCTCTTATGGTACTTTTTTAAAGTTTAACAACTCCTGGTCAAAGTATGCATCATTGTACAGAAAAAAAAGCAGCATTCAAGTCACAGAACATCAAGAGGGAGAGTTAATAATGACCATTTTCAGTTTTTCCCCACTATATTCCATTCAAGCCATTGCTGCCCTACAGCGTCTCTCATCAGCATTATGTGCAATGCTTTGCTACTATGTGGAACTATAGTCCTACACTAATGAAATCTATTGACTAAACTTCAGGATAGATTTTATTCTGGAATGATTGAATAAATCTTAGTGGCTGAGGGACTTGATGAAGGCAGTAACACCTTGTGTAACGGTTATATAACCATATATTTCTTAACATAGATTACATCTAGCCTGGTTAATCCTCAGTGACACTAATTGTTCATCTTGGGAAGGTAGTACGAGATAAGCTGCTCATCAGCTGAGCCTGAGAAGATAGTTCCCTTATTGATACACAGCATCACACCAGTGCGGGATTACGCAACAGGCTCTTCCTTCCTATGGGATGACAACACAAACACACAAACACACACACACACACACACACCAGGAATGATGTCACACATGGCAACAATAGAGCTGATTATTCTGGTCATAATGTCTGCAGATGACACAAGCACAAAAACTCGGTTAACCCAGAGTGACACATACACACACGTACATACACAGTGCTGCTTAACATACACAAGCACACCAACAGATACAATGATTGGTGTTTAGAGGACAGTTCACGTAGCAAAATATACACTATCATTCAAAGGTTTAAGGGCAGTAAGAGTTTTTTTATTTATTTTAATTAATACTTTTGAGCAACGATGCAAAATTGATCTGAGGTGAGAGTAAATACATTTATAGTGCTGTTCTTTTGAACTTTATATTCAGTAAAAAATACTGAGAATGAAAATGTATCAGGCTTTCATCAAAAATATGAAGCAGCACAACTGTTGTCAACACTGATAATAATCAGGAATGTTTTTAGAGCAACAAATCAACATATTAGAATGTTGAATATTAGATTTCTGAAGGATCATCTAACACTGAAGACTGGAGTAATGACGCTGAAAATTCAGCTTTACACCACAAGAATAAATTATATTTTAAAACATATTTAAATATAAAACAGTTTAGCCTGGTGAGCATAAGAGACTTCTTTCAAAAGCATTACTTTTTTTCAAAAAACATTACCCCAAACTTTTGAATGGTAGGTTTCCATTTAAAGGTGAAGTGTGTAATTTCATTTCAAAATTGCAAAAATAATGATTTTTTAATGATTTTAATGATAATGATTTTTTTAAATGGTTTAATTTACAAACAGAAGTATTCGGGAAGTTTTAACAAAGCAAAAAATGACACACGTCACCTTCAAGTCTTATTTGTAATATTTCATTCATTTTATTTATAAAAGCCCTAAATACTAATTTAATTAATTCTACTACATTAAATTGTTTTAAAATAACTTTTTTTTCTTATAAAAATGTGTGTCCATAATTCTTGCGTCAACTCTGTTACCGTACCATATTTTGCCTTTAAATTGGTGGAATTATCTCCCACAACTATGCAAGATACAGGAAATAATGACACTTTCCCTCACTGTTAAGATCTGAAGCACTGAAAAGTCTATGTGCTCTCTCTGAGAAAATATTTTAATCTAAACAGTTCTTATACCAAGAGTTATTTTGAAGAACGTCAACCCTGTTACCACAATATCAAAAGGAAATCATAATGTATTACTGATCACAAATTGGGTTATTTAAAGGTATTTTAATCATGATTTCATTAGTGCCATGTGCTCTTAGCATTTATGCTAGCAAGTGCAGTTTTTGGCAAAAATAAAATAAAATGTTCAATTCTGTTACCGTCAAACTCTGTTACCAAGGTGACAAATTCTGTAAATTCTGTTACTTTACAATTCTGTTACTCAAAGGGTCAACTCTGTTTATGAACTATTTTCACAAAAAAACAATACATTTGTTGTTTAAAATCCTAATAAACATTATTGATTTATTTTTGCACCCTTATAATATTTCAACAACATTTCTTTTTT